AAGTGGTAAATCCTCCATTTATATTTTCCAGCCGAGCCGTCCGTCGGTATATCGGAATAGATGACATCCATCACAGGCTGTATTCAGCGAAAGGTTGGATCGGTCAAAGTTGTTCAGCGAACAAATATTTCGTTGGTCAGCCCAATCAGCTGATTGGTAATATTAGGCAGGTTTTAATACAGTTAATACAAGCCCGTTCAGCGAATTGTTTGACTAAAGAGGTTTGACCGAACTAGTCCGACCATTGCTGAACACAGCCAGTGTACATATCCATGATATCCGTTCGGGAGAGATCGGCTAAATTGGGCGTTATCTTTGACTGTTTTTTAGCAGCCTAGTAAAGTACATCCAATAGAAAATCACTTTACACTTGTTAAAATGTGATAAAAAATGCCGATTATGTGACCTAACCTCCTTTACAAATATCCTTTTGAAATTCTTGAACAATCCATCCCCATTTAAATTCGTTTCATGTATGATCTGCCACCACTTGTCCTGAAACTCCTGGATATTAACAGATGTGGTCTCGGAGGTATACCCAAGCGTTTAAATTCAGAAACTAGTTTCACCAAAATGTGTACGTGTGCTTTCTGTTTCAGTTGACCAATCAAATTATCTTATCCCTATATAAACTGTTATCCCGAGGGGAGACTTTCGCCATCCATAATTTAATATTATGGACAGCAAATGTCGTCTACTTTGTTTTCAATCGATATCTGTGAAGGTAAACGTAAAGAGTAATAATTTCAATACGATTTTCTCTATAACCTAGAAATTGAAAATGCATTGTACAGAGCATCTGTCGATACTATTTCAATTATTAATGAGGGTTTGTTACAGGAACTATACTCAAATACAATACGTGCAATATTTGTTAAAGTAGAATCCAAGAAAAGAATAAGCCAATAAAGTTCTGTTATCGAAACTACTGTAACAATTTACCGTAGTAGGGGCGTGTCTTGAAATTTTTCGCGTTATTTTCAGAATATTAAAATATATACAGGCTGTTCCAAATTCGCCTCTCACTGCAGGGATCTCGGAAACGGCAAGAGGTACGAAGTAGCTTAAATGGGGGCAAAGTCGCGTAATCAGGGTACCAATATTATGCCTCTAAAAAATCAAGGCTAACATGATTAGTTTTCGAAATATTTGAAAAAAACCGAAATTTTCGGGTGTCGAATGCGGTTAATTCCAAGAAAGTAACGCAGAGGTCTTGAAATTTTATCTCAACAAATATCGTACGGACTGTATATCCTCTTTATTAGATATTTTAATAGACAGAATATAACTACTTTTAAACAAACTTTTATTTATGTTCTTTTACATAATAAAATGACCTACAGCAGTCACATAAATTAAAAATCAATATGTCTGTGAAAGTAGTAATATCTATAATTTGGTAACTACTTAAGTATTCCAATAATTTCATCGCTATCAAGCAACAACACGATTTATAGTTTTTTTGCTATAATTGTCAACTTTCAGTTTAGCTAAAATATTCAGAAGCTTTCATAATACATATAGTCATTAGTTGCCTTGGATCGTATTGCTTATTCTGCTGTCTAGATGGAAGCGATGAGTTGAAATTGAACTTATTATTACTTATTATTATGAACACTTATTTCTATGTTAAATTAAATATTTTGAAAAATTTGAATAGTGAAAAATAAAACAGTTTAATTTTCACTTACACTAGATTAATGTAATTATTTTAAAATTATTTAACACTTTATAAAATTCTTTACAGATTGCTAAATCGTAAAATGTAATGAAAAGAAACTTATTATTATTAGTGAACATCATTTTCTATATTATTGCAAAAAATTAATAGTTTTATTAGATATTTCTGTGATAATGGGTCTGTTCGACTATAAAATTGCCTTAACCAAAAATATATTTTTCTTTGTGTCATTTTAAGCTCTTTGATTTTGTTTATAACTTTCCAAGGCCTCCTTAAAAACATTTTTATTTAAAGGTATCATCGAATTGTGGGGTATACCTACTGACTGTCGTCGTAGTAAAATTGTGACTAAACAATATATTATTAATATAATTAGACAATATTCTTTTAGTCATTATTTTTATTTACCTACTTGTTTTGTATTTTTCTGTGATTTCACACATTTTAAATAACGTCAGTGCGATTATTTTTAAGGAATAAATAAATAAATGTATGTCAGGTATTTTTTATTCGTTCATCACCTTGGGGGAAAATATTTTGAATGTAAATTTCGGATCGTGGATTGAAGACAAATAGAGTCATTGTATGTATCAGAAATAAAACGCTCCACGGAATTGTGTACAATGATGCAAGGCCAGAAACTGATATATTTTTTCAAACTGAGTGTTCTATGGATAATAACATGACGACGTCATTTTTACCCTATAACACCCGTAGTGCCTTCAGGGGTTAATGCCCTACTGGTGTGTTATTTAATGATAAATTTTTATTTCTTGTAACAGGTATGGCCACTTCTATGATATTTAACATGTATCGACGTTAATAAATGCTACTTGTAATATATTATTCAATTGATTTATTTCCATGTAATGCGTTTTTAATTTGCCCTAGGGAGATGTACATATTCATAACATTCGTTTATAGTGCACTAAGGCATTATTTGTTTTAATTTAATGTATATCGAAATTAGGGTAATCATTACAAAATTACAGTCTAGTAGGACTATTCTTCAAGGGTAGCTTCCTTGGATGAGAATAAGCCTATTTAGATCAAGTTACCGAACATTTTTCTTGACGATATAGATTTAAAAAGACATCTTTTGTAACCTTACTTTATTCCCTTTAAAAAATGTACTTATTGCTCATATGCATGGTTCCAGATAGAAGTGGACATCAATTTTCTTAATGGAAACATCAAGAAAAATTTTACCTGATCCAAATCGTTTTCGTTTTATCCATGGAAGCTACCCTTAAAGTACGACTTATTCGCTTTCTGACACTCCGTATGTAGTGTGTTTTAATGCATCTACACAACCAAATAGTATAGAGATGGTGCCACTGTGGCAATTGGCAATGATTTTTTTTGAGAAGTGATTTTTCGCGAAATCATCAAAATTTTTTTATGGAAAATCTGACATCTTGAGTCACATAGAGGGTGCCCCGTTCATGTTTCAAAAAATCTTGTGTGCAAGTCCCTCATGGAAAAATAATGACGGCTGTTCATGTAACATTTTTTTCCTGTTTTCGAGATACAGTGTGTTGAAATTGTTACTTTCTAAATGGTTTTCCTTTATTATCTTTAAATGTCAAAATTTGTACGAGTAAACATCAACTGTAAGTTAAGAATAATGCGCAAACGGTTTTTTTCTGAAAAGCAGTGTCGCCGATACAGGTAATGGAAGGGGTACAATCGAAGAAAAACACGTTAAAAGTCAAAATTTATTACATTTCTAAACGGTTTTGTAAACTCTTAAGGATACTACAAAAAAAGGTATACTTGTCGAAATTCGGTAGCATGGTACCATTTTCGAGAAAAATGAAGTTGCATTTTTTTTGCTCTCCTAAAGCGCTACAAGTACATTAACAAAATATTAAATTGAGAGAGGACCTTACCATTGAACGAGCTGAAGATATTTAGCTACCAACATTATTTGCATTTAAGACTATAATTTTAATTTCTTACGTATCACATGAAACAGTGAAATAATTGTAAAACATTTAGTTAACTAAAAAAAAAATTTAATTTATTTTAAGTTTCATCTTGTAAACTAACATTTAAAAAAGTAAATCAAAATAAACATTATGGTAATTAATTATCTATTATTAACTACTTTTAGATTTTGTAAAACTACTAGAAACTAGACTATCATTACTAAAATAAACAATTGTTGAATGGACTGAATTGTTGATGGACATGAATGCTTAGAAAAAGTGATAAAAACAGAAAAATACTAGGAAACAGACTCGGAGACATACAAAACAAAGCAGCTGCACAATTAAATAAATGTGCAACCTCGAAATACTACAGTAGATACTGAAATTGTCTCCCATTTCCTTCTATGCAACTTCATTTTTCTGGAAAATGGTACATGCTACCGAATTTCGACAAGTATAGGTACCTTTTTTTTTGTAGAATGCTTTAGAGTTTACAGAACCGTTTAGAAATGTAATAAATTTTGACTTTTAACATATTTTTTTTTCGATTGTACCCCTCCAATTACCTGTATCGGCGACATTGCTTTTTCGTAAGAAACCGTTTGCACATTATTCTGAACGCACGGTTGATGTTTACGGGTGTACAAATTTTGAGATTTTTATCTTTAGCCGATTTAAAGATAATTAAGGAAAACCATTTGGAGAGTAACAACTTCAACACACTGTATCTCGAAAACAGGGCTTCTAAGAAAAAAAACTTTACATTTACTACCCCTATTGTTTTTCCATGAGGAACTTGCACACAAGTTTTTTTGAAACATGAACGGGACACCCTGTATATTTTATTAAATCTCACAATTTCTAAAAATGTAAGAAAATTCCGGATACGTATAGGTACAATCCTTAGCATTCGTAATGCTTATTTGTTCTTTACACAATCGTATTAAAATACGCTTAAAAACAAATTTTAAATTATACGAAATATACAAAAAGTCAAAAGCTTTTCATTTCAAGTTAATGTTCTTTAAATAAATAGAAGTTCACCTCTTTTGTCCTTATTTTTGTGAAATAACATGTATAATACATATTAATTTTACAAACATTGGTATATAAATTACTTACCAACATATTATGCTTACCAACCAGTGAACACAACCTAGGGCATTAATAACAGATATTGCAAAGTAAGCAAAAAAATATCGATTGTGCAAAAAATATTTTTCTGATCTGATTTACTTCACTTTCTGAGATCCAGCAAACAATACAACATAGATTTACTTCTAATCGGAATGTCACCTCCAACCTAGTCACCTGCAAAAAAAAGCCGACCTTGTACGAGCGAGGCAATTATCTAAATCACGAAACAATACACGAGCGTTTTTCAGAATCCAATGAAACCAACCCGACCAGAAAATATCCATGAAGACTCGCACTCCTGATCAATGGGTTTTCTAAAAATCCGCGACTATCTTCATTCGAGACCGCCAGGCAGAAAAAAGATGACGCTCTAAGTGCGCCCGCAACTATGTCAGCGTAATTCTGGTCCTGAAACCGCTCGAAGATGTACAACAATCGAAAATCGTTCATCATCAAATTGTTGGTGATCGCCTGCATCATTTACCTGTGCATCCACGTGCTCACGAACAACGCGGGGCCGGTGATCAGGGAGCTGCAGGAGTCCGGCAGGAATCTGGCGGCGTTGGACAGCGCCAACCTGGAGCAGACCGCTCTAGCGTCCGAGAACGCCATCAAAGAGGCTGTGCCCATCGCGGAACCGACCAAGGAACCGGAAGCCCGGGTTCAAAAAGTGGTGAGTAGTTTTTTATTATACTGATATGCGAATGTAGTCGATAATGTAACGCAGAGCTGGCAATATTCGAGGATATGTAAACCTGTTTTAATGTTAGAAGCAATATAGGTACACTAATTACAATAATTAAAGCAAGAAAAATCCTAAATTTTTAGGTGATTTTCAAAAGGCTGTCTTAAAGGCGAGTAATTGTAGAGCAATATAAAAATCAAATTGAAGATTCTAGTTTCAGGATTTGAAAGTCAAACATTTTTGTTGTTTGAGTTTTGCTTCTTTTTCAAAACATCCATAATTATATTTTTGGGTATCCCAACTGTCAACTCTTTAAGTTTGATTCATCCTCTTTAATTTGAATTTAAAATAGAAGATTCGGCAAATTCCAAGAAAACGTCAAATACAGGATGTACTGGGGGTCATATTTATAAGGGGGTGGGGGGAGGGGGGAGGTGTGTATCTTTAACCTTTAGAAACACATACAACATGTTTGTTTTCTCAAATTCCGTTGTGGAAACTGTTTTTTTTTTCATGATTTTCATACCTCGCTGCTAGATAGACCTGTGTGATCACAAACAGCGTACATTAGCCACAAGCGCATACACATTTGACTGCAGCATGTATTGTTGTCAGTTTAGTTTTTTTATTTATAAAAAAAACTAAACATTTTAGAAAAAATATTTAAAATGAAAGTTGTAGGAATTTTCAATATACATCGAATAAACCCAAACCAGTTTTGATCGATAAATAAATAAATTAGTTATTGCAAAAAAGCCGCTAAAAATCGCAATTTTTTCAAATAGCTCTTTCAAAAATAAATTATTTTTTATGAAATTTGGTGAAAGGATAGCTCTTGGTGAGCAAAATAAAATGATATATTCAAAATTGAAAAACAGTTTTATAGTTTTTGCAAAAATCGAGTGTTTCGAAAAAAAAGCGTTTTTTTTTTGTAAAATCACGATAATTCATAGGCCGCCCCACAACAGGGTTTGGCTTAAAATTTTCTTTAATAATTACATTATTATGTGCAAATATTGCACTATAAAACTGATTAACTTTTTGATTTCAATTCGTATCAAAATGTCGATACTGCCATTCGAAAGTTGACATTTTTTTACGAATTTTTATGTTTAATACATCAAGATTTTTTCTACTTTCCGCCTTTTTATTTCTTCAACTAACTGACATTACTTTATAAATGTACATGAAAAGAAAAAATACACATAGTTCGTTACGTAGGATCGACATATACAATAGTAGTATTACAGTTTAATTACGGGGATTTTACAAAAACGTTTATTTTCGAAAAACTCTATTTTTGCAAAAATTATAACATATTTTTTAATTTTGAAAAAATCATTTTATTTTGCTCATCAAGAGCTATCCCTTCACCAAGTGTCATAAAAAAATATTTATTTTTGAAAGAGATACAGTTATTTGAAAAAATTGCGATTTTTAGAAGTTTCTTTGCAATAACTAATTAATTTACTTATCGATCAAAACCGGTTTTGGCTTATTCGATGAGTATTAAAAATTCCTACAACTTTTGTTTGAAACATTTTTTTCTAAAATGTTTAGTTTTTTTTATTAATGAAAAAGAACTGTTTTTTGAACTTTGGACGCCATTTTGAAAATGAAACCGAAAAGTTCAGGTGGGGTAAAGTAGTTCATTAAATTCTACGGAATATTTCCTAATTTTTACATATTTTCAATTACTGAACTATTTTTTGGCACCTGCAAAAGTAATTTGATTGGACTATAAATAAAGATAAATGAAACAAATGAAAATAAATAAATAATCTGCTAATACTCACCTGATCATTACAGCACGTTCACAAAATGTTATAGGGTGAACACCCTCTATGACCTTTTCTTTCTATTTATATTCAAATAAATGTAGAATTTAGTTTCTCTCTACTCAACTTTCTTCATCATCTTAAGTATGTCCGGACATTCCTAGAATTAAGTTTACAACGTCATCAAAAAATAATTAATTGTATTATATATAAAATGGTTTTTTATACAACGATCCTAAAATAGAATAAACATAATATCTTAGGTTATTTTTAAGGAATTGGTTCATTTGTTACTTAAAAATCTGGAACTTTTTGCCTTAGAGAAGGGTATGGAAATACGGTTAGGAGTGGGATTTAACTGTATAGTCCAGCATTCAGTTGCATCTGCTTACATTTAAAATGTATTTCAAGAATTCTCGACCTACCCGCAATGTACAAAAAAATGTAATTTTGTATTCAAATATATATTTTATTATTGTATATCATTAAGTAGTAAGTGACGTCCTGTGTTATAAATATGTTCTTTTCGTGATTTATTTACTAGGCTACAACCATTTAAGAATTTTGAAAATTAGGCTTCATTGTCGGTTTTTACAGCACTTTGAATGTAACTATAGAGAGAATTTAAAAAATACAGAAATTACTTTGCGCTTTTCTTTACTATATTCGTCTATACTCTATATCTTCAACAATTTGTACATTGTCGACGTACCTCAAATTCTTTCTCTATAAAGCACTGACCATTAGGTTCAAAATTTAAAACAAGGAAGCTGTCACAATAGCAGTTCCAATGAAGATTCAGTCCACATCTCCATCAAATTATTTTCTTTCTAAAATCCAGCCTTTATGCCACTATTTGTGTTCCAGTCGACAACCGTGCAGCCGGAGAAGCCACTCACAGTGTTGGAAAAAGTGAAAGAACTGACTCAGTGCTTGGACAAAACCTTAGTGCCAAAAACCCAACAGCGCGGCGACTATTGGGTGCTGTACAATTACGTGACCGCCGAGAAGACGTTCAAATGCCACGAAAGTATTACGTACACGACGCACGCGGACTATTCCTTCATGGACAACTTAGTGCCATTATTGGAGAGGTGGAGAGGGCCCGTCAGCATCGCGATGCACGCCCCCGGGACCGATTTCGCCAACACGTTGGAGTCGATAGCGTATCTGAGGGACTGCGCCAGTTCCCTGGTGAGGGAGTACACCACGTTTCACATCTACTTCAGCACGAAGCACGTACCCAAAGAGGTAAGGCGGCAGTCAGAAATTATCAATTGTTATTTTGCTAATAGTGTATAGCAGTCACGGCTATTGACTTCCGTACCAGGGAGGGCGGAAAATTTTAAATACAGAGTATTGAAAAAAAATCAAATATAAAAAAACCGGCTAATAGCTATTATTTGGTATAGTCTTTCCGAATCAGTTGAACGCCTGAAATAAAATGCAGATTCCTAGGAATATATGCAATAAAAAAGCCTTATATAAGAAATTAATATATCCACGATTTGTCAAGAAAATTGAACTTCAATTTTGTAGAGAAGAAATAAATCTTAGTACGGTCCTGGTCAAAAAATGTCATGCCACTCGATTAACATCACCGCACGCTTGCCGAACCGAACTTAACAGAGTCGAGTTTTCGCGCAAATCAGTGTTGCCAAATTAAAATGTATGAAATACACACAAACGAGATAAAATGTTTTAATGCAATAATAAATAATTTTGGCCAGTTTAATACAATCCTCTCGTTTTAATTAAAAGGAAAAATAAACAAAATTCAAATAGTTATTTCACTGTAAATGATAATGTGCAGTCCCAGACAAGAGGTTTGTAGAAACAATGTACATGTTGTTACAGAAAAGACTACTATTATTTTAGCAAATGATAGGTTGGATCACGACAAATAAAAAAGATGCAAACTTACCGCTATTATAACTATCACCATGTCAGGACGTTCGATAGTAGTAAACATATTATTGTTGTCTTCGTTATCTATTGGCAATTTAGTTAAAACAATAACTTAAGAAATAAAAAATAAGAAACGTCTTTAATAAACACTTAACGACTAAACAGCAGAAGCGCGATATTTTTGACACAACTTAACAGCAATTCGCCCGCAACCCGCAAGACACTAGCTGACACTCCACAAGTGCCGTGCGGAGTGCGGACTAGGTCAATGTTTTTTGCGCTATGTTAAACAGGACCGGCATTAACATTTTGTCACTTCTTGTAATTTTTTGGAAAATATTTTTGATACTCAAATCTCATAATCGCCTTATGGTAGCATATATTATTTTACTTCATTTATTGTCAAGAGTCTAGGTTTTTTATTTATTTTATAGTAGGATCGTATTCGATGCAAAGTAGAGCAAAAAATTGTCGGCCTTTTATCACAGGAAAATCGTGTCATTATTTTTAGGAGGCTTAAGATGAACCATTTCAAATTTAAAATTAAATTGAATGTAAAATCTGAAATACCGCTGCATACGCACTGTGTTTTGGTACTAGCTGTAGTCGGCCAGGTGCATCGTGTGTACAAAGTGGTCGGTTATACGTCAAATACTAACCTGGCGATCTTGATTGTAAAGCAGGGAACAATAAACAGTGGCGCGTACAGAGGTGAACATATGTGGAATTTAAATAACGAATCGGATTTGTAATAAATTACATTTTAAACAAATAGTTTATGAGAATAAAATGACGTGAACTGATCCCTTCATCGCACCCCATTACGATTCTTTTTTTTATAAGGCAAAAACCTTGTATAACAGATATACTATAAATATTTACAGAATGGAAACAAAATATAAATCCTATGATATGATTCTCTCAAATGAAAACACTAACAACAATTCTCTATCAATCTCAACAAAATAAGTTATTTTTCTATCAAACAAGAAATGTTAACAAATTATAAACAAAATATAAATTCTATGATTTATATACTGTACGCCGAACTGCATTTTTCTCATCTTCATTTAATATTAATTTCTTCTCTCCACCCCTTTTTTAGGTTTCTTAACGCCTCCTTCATTTTTCTTTTCTCTTAAAATTTTGAAAACAGATAATTCGCTTACTCCAGTATATCTAGAACACATTTCCGCCAAACCAGTCTTCAGTTTCATGGGATGATCCTTTTCTAAAGCGTTATAGACATTTAATATTATCGTTTTTTCTCTGAAATTTAATACATATTTTTTTGTACCCACAGCAGTACATCCGGCTTGCATCGCCTCCATTTCTCCATATAACAACAACAGAGCAATAATAATACGAAAAACTTCACTTCACTAGCACAGAAAATGTAATAGCATTCATGATTCACAAACAACAGCCCGAAACACACACACAACACACAAATAAAACACTAAAACCACTTTTGTTACGGAGCACAAGAAATATGATTTCACCACAAATTCTCAAATAATAGCGCGAAACACACATACAGCCCGAACGAAATATAATTGCACTTAACAGTTATAACCTCACAAATATCACGAGCGAGAAACACGCAGCACCAATACAACCGAAACGAAACTCACCACGCCGGGCCGGCACGCGCGCCACCGCAACAAACACAAGACACAAGTCATATGAGGGAGGATGAAGGGAGTAATAAATGTATTGTTGCCCTGCCGCCCAATGTGCGAAGGAGATGCCTTTGTTTTTCATTTTGTCCTTCATAAATATATAACTATTAATCCATAATGCATAAAGAAATTATTCAATTTCCAAAACCCCCTAAAACGTGTTGCACTGATTCCCTTGACAGACAATGATTTATTACTTTGCATCGAATATGATCCTACTATAGTTCGACCAGACCTGTATATGGGTATGGCTAAATAAATATGAGAACAAGTTTTTCAAATATTTCAATGCTGAGTTGCTGCGTCAGCGACCGAACCTGGTACATACTGTCATCCTCTTGGTTCTTCAATTGATATCGGAAAGATAACTAAACTAACGAACTAAACAGAACCCAAACTGCATAGTAAATATGCACTACTCCCACGCGCTACGGCAACCATGACCACCGCTGTAAACACAGACAGATGTAGAGGCGAGCTACGAGAAGCCCACGTATTGAGTTTTGCACACGAATTTTGCAAATTTTCGAGTTAAATTGATTGCACATTACAAATCTAACATTTCCTTTTTAATGTGTTTCATAATTAATTTATTTTTATTTCTATTTATGTTTAGAATTTAAATCAGACAGGGCACGATCGCATTCCTTCACTGTCGTCTGTTCATGATAGCTAAGTTTTTGAGATTTAGTTTCACCCAATTTTTATTCTATTTTTATTTAAACTAGCTACTCTAAATCTAAATCAGCGAGAAACAAGAAAAACAACAAAAAACACGTGATTACTGCTGTTTTTGTGTATATAATTTTGGGTTTGGGTTGGGTATTGGTTGTAGGAATAAATTATTAAAATAATAAATAAAACTAATAATTCTATATTCATTACACCAAGTTTGACTTTGATATTTTTAATATAAATTTAGTTGTGTTTCTGTTAAATTTCGGGAGTTCTACACCCCTGCAGCACCTATGGAAAAGCCGCTCATGGTATACAGGGTGTCGCAAATTTTACCGACGTTTGACTGCATATTCACGACGATAAATAAATACGATCTACGAAAAAAAAGTTAAATAAAAACTTTTTGGTTTTTGAGTTACAGGCCTTCGTCAAAGTTGTCAAAAATAAAACTAATTTAATTAATAACTTCAAAACCCTTTTACCGATCGCGTTAAAATTTGGGACATTTATTTGGACCAATATGGCATATTATTTCTTAAAGTTTGAGTCAAATCGATGTACTGGATGTTAGTCTTCTCCGGTTACCTCTCCCTTTTAGCGGCCAAAACTTTTACAGTGATCGTATATTTAAAAAACCTGGCAGCAACATTGAAACAACAAAATGAGAAATGAGAAAAATATTTAAAAACCATACAAAAGAATTAAATCATCAAAAACAGTACTCGCAAGTACTGTAGTTTCGAGTGCGAAATCTATTATCTTAATTCAAAATCATTCTAAAAGGGAAGTAGCCTTATATTTGAATATTTTTACTTTTTTATAATATTCTTTAGTTGCCTGGGGAAAAAAATGTAAACGGCAGTTTATTTCTAATATGGAGAGTAGTAGCCATCAAAAAGATATTGTTCAGTGCCCCAGTACAACGATGTACGCAATATCAGAACTTTTATGATTGTACTGTTCCAAGGAGGAAAAACTTAAAATTAAAAAATTTAAAAAGTTTGATGAATTAATGAGTTTGATACGATATAATTGTTTTCCATTTTTTTCTAACCTCATTACTTTGACAAAATAAAAAAACTAAAACTGTGCTGCCTGTAAATAATTTCATACTCAACATTTTATTTTCTGTCTCAAATTAACTTTAAAATAGTAAAGTTTTTATGTTTTATGTTTTCATCTGTTGTAATATGTAATAAAATTATTTTCCTCACTGCCACTAATACTGCTACAGTTATAGTTTTAATCATGTGAATATAGTTAGTATGGTGTATCTACAGCCATTGGATCTTTACGTTCACGTCATCAAGCATAATCGGATGAACTAAGATTACAAACGAGTTGAAATCAGTGGTTGTATTCACATTTGTATAATGAAAACATGTTTTGTGATTTTTTGTATCATAACAGTTTAAAATACACCAAAACCAAACAAACTTAACCCCGATTTACTGAAACAATCACAGAACTCATAGAAAATCCATCTGTGACAACAAAGAACGTAGGAAATGATGATAAAATATATGTCCACATTTTAAGCTCACAAAAAACGACAAGATGTATGTCTCTTTCTCATTCATCAGGGAATTAATAACTTATGTAGGAACTAGTATCAGTCGCACAACATATGAAGGCGATTGCTTGTCCTTTTTTTTAATAAGTTAATTTTCATTGATCAATAATTGAACATTTGTCTTTTATATTGATATATGTTGATGACGTAAACGTAAATATCCAACGGCTTAACTGTACGCGCGAGTGGTGACGTCATTAAAGAGACAAACGAAACCAAGGCATATGGAAATGCAATAACTTTCTGTTCTTTTTCGAATAATTACCACATTTCCAGAGCTGCTGCATCTTCAGATCATTCATTTTATTATGCAAAACATATACTGCTACATCAAACAAAATATTTACGTTCATTGAGACTACATACTTACTTTCGTCTTACGTATCAATTTAAATTGTCTCTTTATATGT